CCCTTTTCTAGCTAATGACTAACTGGAGTACCCCTTTTCTAACAAATAACAAGTCACAAATTAGAGAATCTCTTTATTTCATAACAAATTGGAGAACCCCTTTTATATCATATCAAATGACAAACTAGAGTTCTCTAAATGTTATAGTTAATAAAATATAAACTATGCTACACTTGTGTACCAAATATGAGTGACACCAGGCTTAAATTATTTCCTTGTTTTTGCCCCCAGCATGTTGCATAATTTGATAAGACTTGCTCATTATGGTTTAATTAATTTTCTGTAGAAAATTATTTTATTTCAGTTTATTAAATGTATACTCTTATTTTATAGAGTTGAAAACTTCCTACAGTCTTGACTATTCCAGATGGCACTTGTATTTGGTGAGAGAAAAAAAAAAAAAGAAGTTCTTTACAGCAGTTTCCTTACTTTGATGAACATTTAAATAAAAAAACTGAAACATGAAAATATTCTTTAATGGATAATAAATGTTAAAGAGTTAGTAGGTAGTATTATAAGTCTGTTTTTATCTAGTTTATTGTTACTTTTGTTTTTTTTGTTTTTTTTTAAGCATACCACCCCAAGCAAGGCAGAAGTGCCACTACCATGCAAGGGGTTATGGAGAGTAAGAGTAAAGAGGGGTGTTTGGGGAAAAGGATGGGGATCAGGATAAAGGCATCAGAAGATGTCAATTGACATTAAATTTGAAGATTTGAAGATTATAGCTATTAGAGAAACAAGAGGAAGGTAGTTCTACTATCATGAAGTGCAAGAGAAGCTGTTGGAGTAGAAGAGGCAGTACATTTAACTGTTTCAAAAGTGAAAAGGTGGGACCGAGATACCAACCTAGTAGCACACTTACATTCATGCAGTTGGGGTACTAGTGAAAGTAGTTCATCAGAGCAGTTGCCATGAAAATATTTGTAGAAAAGACAGAGGGAAGCTACATACCCTTTCACTTAGCATTGTAGATGAAAGAAGGAGGATATTGGAGGTTTTTGAAAGTGTTTTCTGTGTATATTTTTTCTTTAGGTAAATATTGTGGAGGCTGCAGATTCTTAAATAGAATCTATAATTTTTCATACATTATCCTGTTACACTGGTGAGAATAAAAATTAATAAGGTCATTTTTGTTGATAGATTTTCTGTAACCTCCAACTGAAGGTCATTATTAGTTCTATATAACATGATGTCTAGGAAGGGTAAAGTGTTATTAGATTCAAAAGGTAAAATTATATATAAAACATAGTAATGTGTTGATTGAAATAGCTATTCTTATGAGGTAATTTGGGATTTCCTATCATGTAACTTATATGGTCTGTTATAATAGATACATTGAGCTCTATTTGTGGATCAGTTTTAATATTTTATATTATTAGGATTCACTTAGATTATATACCAACAGATTATATATATATATATATATATATATATATATATATATATAATCAGTTAAAACCATCACTTGATAAGGAACCAGAAGTGTTGAAACAAAATGGCTATTTTTGTAGTGATGTTATAACATGCTTATGTTATAATTTTTGAATAAAATATATATGTGCACACACACACACACACACACACACTACAGTTCAAAAGTCTGAAGTGACCCCCAGAATTAGCATGGGATGAACTTGACAGAAGAGCGAAAAAAATGAAAAAGAGCAAAAACTACTTTGAGAAACTTTTGCCAAAAGTGCCAAAAATTTGTGTTGTTGTAATCAAGGATAAAGGAGGATATTTTGACAAGAGTAAAATTTAATCATAAAATGCTTTTTATCATAAAATTTGTAATAAAAATCATGTCTCACTATTTTTTAATTATGTAGAATAATTTTGTTATTTAAAGTAAAAAAACTACTTTCTAGGATGTTTTAAAAAATTACTAGGGTTGCCTCAAACTTTTGAACTGTAGTGTGTGTGTGTGTCTGTGTGTGTGTGTGTGTATCATTTTACACATTGCAAGGAGTTAGACCACAGTGGTATAAAGTGTATCGATTCTTTATTACACACAATGACATTTATAGCATATGTGTATATTTGGATTAATTTAAAGCCTAGCATTTCAGAAAATGGTAGAATATAGCCAACAAATTATCATCTACCATACTGCATGTCTAGATAACGACGGAGGTGGTTGAAAATACTTCAACAATACATGACCATTAGACAGTTTAACCACAACTTTGATTTGAATGGACAGTAATGGATTCAAAAATGAAAAATACAATCAAATATTAATCAGACAAACCTTATCAGTTGAATTTAACAAAACTTAATTGTGTGTGTGTGTGTGTGTGTGTAAAATTTGGATATAAATATTTTTGATTCATTTTCTATGATTTATCAACCCTTTGTAGGTTATTTAAAGCCATAAACTATTTTTAGATTGTAAGAATTGGGGGGGGGAATAATAATGATTTAGTAATGCAAATCTTACTAATGAACCCATAGCTGGAGGGAGAAGTGGTGAATTCCTACCTAATCAGAATTTGATAAACAAAAGAAATTATGTGGATATAAAGTGGGAGATCAATTCCATATTACAATCAATATATTAACTGATCACTCACTTTGTGAACACGTTAGTTTCTATACATTTATATTCCAGAGAAATTAAATAAATCTAAAAGACATGTATGTGCAGCTAATCAGTATTTAATCAATTGACTGATTTGTTTTCTACTGCTTATCAGCTCTATGCGGGTAATTTAAAGCCAGAAAATATTTTTAGATTGTAAGAATTTTTTTTTTTTTTGAGATAATAATGGTTTAGTGATACAAGTCTTACTTATTAACCCAGAGCGGGGGGGGGGAAGAGGTGGATTCATACCTTTCCCAAGGATATTTGCACATAAGTGTATATATCAAACCCAATGAGAATTGGAACTCAGATCTCCAATTAACAATTCCAAGCCATTATCCACTACACCACCTGTACATCTCAGCTTACAGCATGTGGTATTTCAAGCGGTCACACATTTAAAGCACTGATCTGACTTGGTGTTGCTTAACTTTGGTGACCTTATGGGAACCGGTATTTCACCATGATGTGGCCATAAGCTTCAGATATAAGCAAACGTGTCTGTAAAGACAACATTAATAAAAGAAATAGCCAGAGGAAAACCATTTATATAAAAGCATTCCAATTCTTAAGGAACTTTATCCAGACAAATGTAGATATTACTCAATTATAAAATAATTGTATTATAAAATATATTTTTTATTTATAGGACATTGTATTTACACTATATTTATATTATATTTCATTTATATTTATTTACATGATATCGCAATGCACTGATATTTACGTTATATTGTAATGCATTGATATTATAAAATTATAAATATAAAAACAGGTTCTACATTTGCATTGACAAAATTCCTCAAGGAACCATACATATTGGTATAAAAGGTTTTTCTCTTGTCATTTCTTAGGATATAGGAAATTGTCCATAGTTATAAAAAAGTTCTCAGAACAATTACAACTTTGGACAAATCCTATATTCCTGAAACCCTGAAAAATGGAAAAATGTTAGATTGCTGGAAAAAATCAATAAAAGAATCAGTAAATTTTCCTTGCTAGCCATTTTCAATGAAAGATATATATATATTTCTATATAATATATATATATATATATATTTTTATATATATATATATATAAAAATGCCTAAAAAACACACACATATATATAAAAATGTACCCCCCACAAAAAAATATTATATATATATATATATATATATATATATATATATATATATATATATAAAAATAAATATACACACACACAAATACATACAAATATTTTAAGTTTTATCCTATCATTTCACTGGATTTTGATCCAATTTTTTAAACACATATAAATAAAATGTCTATGCTTTGGCAGCATATTTTCATTAAGACAGGTTGTTTTGTTAAATAATTTAGATATGTTCTGTCTACTTATTCTTGATAGGATCCTTTCATATTCGTGTATGGCTTTTTTGTGTAGTTATTAAAAGACAAGAGGAAAACACTGCGTTGGCTCATATTGAATTTCTTTCCGAGTACTTTTGACATAGCATAATGTCATCATCAGGGTATTGTTAATTATAGAGTAAATATTTAGTGTTCATGGTTGTGAAAGTTGAAAATTTTTGTGGTCAACTGAAAGTTTCCATTTTTATATGTGGAGTCCGGATACCTGATAATGACATTATGCTATGTCGAAAGTTCTTGGAAATAAATACAATATACATATATCCCCACAAACAAAAAAAATATTTTGGTATTTTCTATAGTTTTAAAAACAATCAAATTAAAATTTCAGACAAAATAACTTATTTTTTTTTATATTAATCTGATAAGGGAGGACCAAAAACAACTTTGCCAATAAAATTAAGAAATGTCTGTAGTATAATTTTGATTTAATATAAAAATGCTTTTACTTTCTTTTATCGCACTGGTTATCTCGAATTCATCAAAGCAGGAAAAGCGCCAGTCAAAACAATTTTACTATACAGGTGAGTAATGGAAAATTTTTCCATATGAATGTAGACAATGATCCCAAAAAAAAAAAAAAAAAAAAAAAAAAAAAGGTTGGGAACCCTTGGTTTATATATTTTATTCCTGTTAATATTAAACAGAAAATAATATCAAATTAAGAATGAAATCATTTATGGTATTTTGCCAATTCCTGGTATAGAGATTAATCAGATTATCTCCTAAGACATTGGTTGTAAGTTCATTACCTATTGAAAATTATCATAAAAACTCACTTTAATAAATATCCTTTTTCGGATTTTTTTTTTCCTACATGGTAAATCATGAGAGAGCAATGATTAATATCCTGGTCTTGCAAACCTTTTCTAGCAATGATAAACCACATTGAATGTCATGCTGTCCAACATATGGCAATCACAACAGAAAAAAAAATTTAGGGCAGAACAAAAGGCCAAAAACAAAACAATGCCATAAGCAGAAATTCAGATTGGAAAGACACTGAAATACTGGTTGATAGTTAACTTGCATGGTTTTCCTGAGTGTCATACGAGGAACTGCTTAACAAACGCCGAATCCATTTTTGAACGGTTTGAAGGATTTGCTGTGACAAGATACAGGGATGGATCTTTGCAAGGAGAGCTCCACATTGACTCAGGTAGTCACTAAAGAGAAAAAGTAGTTAAGGAAAAAATGGGAGTGAGAAAATTAAGAGAAAAAGTCAGAGGTAAATAACATGGCAAAGAGAGGGGGGAATACAAAGAGGGAAAGCAGTGTGTTGAAAAAGGGTGGTGGGGGAGTAGAATAAAAATAAAAGAGGTAGTGTAAGTGTAAGTGTTCTCAAATCAAATTTGTCGCAGATTACTTTCACAACACAAAGAAAAATCACTAAGTCCAGACTTGAGTATCGGGGGCAGAAAAAAATGCTGAAAACTCGATTCGCCGGTACTATCTTAAATCACGATGCGTGTAACCAGTCAGGAAAATAACTCACACTCCAACAAACGCCGTAGCCAAAAAATGCCCGAATTTTCCTTCCCCGATACTTGAGTCTGTACTTAGTGATTTTTCTTTGTGTTGTGAAAGTAATCTGCGACAAATTTGCTTTAAGAACGCTTATACTTACAAGCTATTTCAGCAGAACCTATTTTTTTTCATTCGTCAACAGCTGGGATAGGATGCTCCATAATTTGCATATCAATATCCTCTTATAGCGACTCCTGTGACGGACTTGTTTCTTTTTCCGTCACAGAATACACGCGACGCGCAGTCGCTTGGGTTGACGAGGTAAGTCCCCAAGTTTTCTTCAATAAGATTTTTGCTGAGTACTTTTGGTAATCCTTCTTCAGCAAATCGCACACAAAACACAAACTTTTTTCCGAGGTACCTGATTATCTCTTTCACTACAGGTAAGAAATTAAAGTAATAAAAACATGTGAGTAAGAAATTAATGTAATGAAAAAACATGGGTAAGGAATTAAAGTGACAATAAAAATGGAGTAGGGAATTAACAAAAAAAAGGAAGTGGTATTAAAGTAATGAAATAAGGGGTTGGGGATTTAATTAGAAAAGGGATAGGGGAATAAATAAAAAAATGTGTAGGCAATTAAAGTAGGGAAAAATAATGAAAAGTGGGTATGGAATGAAAGTAAAGAAAAAAGTTTGTAGGGAATTAAAGAAACGAAAAATGGTGTTGTGAATTAATAAAAAAAAAGTGACAATTTGGCTTGATAAAGAAGACAAAACGCATCAGCTGAGAATCGTTTTTCATTTTGTCATATATTGCACACACACAGGGTGTCCAAAATGAAAGATTTATCAAAATTAAAACAAGATATTCAAAGGGATGTAGATTTTATAACTGATTTCACAAAGCTTCACAAACGTCCAATATATGCACCAACTGTGACAAGACACATGCAGAGTCAGTAGTCCAGCTCCTGCCAAACATGTTGTAGCATATCTCGCATAACATTCTCTAGTGCTTCAATGATTCTCTGCTTAAGTTCCTCTAAGTTTTTATGAAGAGGTGGGATTCTTTCACCATAGAAGAAAATCAGAAGGTGTCAAGTCAGGTGAACGTGGTGGCCATTTCAACAGCACATTGTCATTAGCATTGGCACACCCGATTGATCTTCCTGGTAGATTCTTATTGAGATAAGTTTACACAGTCAACTTAGTTTTTACACATTTTGTTAAAATTTGAGATCATTTGAGCATGAATTAGCCATTTTATTAGACTACAAAATGATGTCAATTTTGGGGGACACACTGTATATATACCATATATGTGTGTGTGTATAGGTGCCTATATATATATATATATGTGTGTGTGTGTATAGGTGCGTTATATATATATATATATATATATAGACACTCCATGTATGTGCATGAACATATACACTGCATGTAGGTGCGTGTACATATACATTGCATGTAAGGGCATGTGTGTGTATATATATATATATATATATATATATTGTATGTATATATTTAATGTTTATATATATATATATATATTTATGTATGTGTGTGTGTGTGTGTGTGTGTGTATATATATATATATAATTGATAAATCCATTATTAGTCTGAAGAAGGTCTTTCTGTGGATGAAACACATTAGTTAGGAATTTCTCCCCTACCATATACATGGTATCATTACTCTTTTAAAAGGATACTATATAGACCAGGGGGGTTGCCCCCCATTGATGTAGAGTACATATGAATAACCATCACGAGGTTTGCTGTTGATAGAATAATAATAGGGCAAGTAGCTATGTGGTTGGAAGTTCCTCCTTTCATAAAAACAGATTGCTGCATTGTTGGTAGTCAGCACATGAAGATAGATGGCCTTGCAATTGTAACGATCTCGAGATGTCAAGTAGGACAACAGGCTATCTAGTAAGAGAGAAGCTGAAAAATAAAAAATGGTATTTAGAATACAAGTAGAAGACTGCAAGTGTTATATGCCCTGAGAGTCATACATCTAGACAATCAATATGGTTTGTGACAAATACAACAAAAAAAGTAATGAAGAACACAAATGAAGAAATGAAGGAAAAAAAAAATGAAGAAAGGTAAAAAAAAAAAAATAAAGAAAGTGGTGAGAGAAGAATTATCATTGAACTTTTAAAAGGTAAGCTTAAATATTAATGCAATACTTAAATGCAACAATCAATTTTGAGTGCTTTCATAGTTTATTGTTGCCTATTGCATCTACTCCTCCCTACCTGGATTACAGACTCATTTGTTGAAAAAGAGAAATTATCTTTTTAACAGCATTTCAACTCCTTTCAGTCTAATTAATGCCACAATTTGTTTAATCTGAGAAATTTTGTTTTTAGTTTGAAAGTTAAATTGTTTGCATTGATATATCTGGTTTTCACAGGAATCAGAATAATACATATAGATTCGTTTTGCACAAGAATCAAAATTTTTCATAAGTCACTTTTTCATAAGTATCTATCCTATCTTACATATTTATAAGTTTACCATTCGTCTTTGCTTGGAATATTGCTACCATATCTGGTCTGGTGCTCCTATTATATACTAAGAGATTCTAGATAAAATACAAAAGAATCTGCAATGTTGTTAGTCCTGACTTATTATCTCAGCTTCAGTCACTTTCCCACCACCATAACATAGTTTTGCTGTACCTTTTCTATAAATATTTTTATGGTAATATCCAAAGAAGAATCTGTAATGTTATTGGTCCTGAGTTTAGTAAAATACAGCAACAGAACTTTACAAGACTATCAAAAACTGAGCAGTACTAAATAAGTTCAGGAACATGAACTAAAAGAGGAGGTGCTGTAGAGTAGGACTGTGTGTACTTCCTGCTCTTCCCCACTAGTGGGACAATAGACTGCTCCTACTTATGGCAAGTAATGACATTAGAGGAGGATTTGAGGAGTATATGGCTTACTCAAGTATTTTTGTTTTATGTATGGGTATTTAATAAACCTCTACTGAGTCTTATGTTCGTTTGATAGTCTCTCTCTCTAACTACGGCCTTCCTAATTCTCGGCTATTGTGAACTCCTATACACAAGTATTTAATAAAGCTCTTCTTCTTTGTTTTCCTCTACTTAGTCTTCTCTTCCTTTAATAGTTTCTCTCTCTCTCTAACTACGGCCTTCCTAATTCTCGGCCATTGTGAACTCCTATGTATGAGTATTTAATAAACCTCTTCTTTGTTTTCCTCTACTTAGTCTTCTCTTCCTTTAATAGTTTCTCTCTCTCTCTAACTACGGCCTTCCTAATTCTCGGCCATTGTGAACTCCTATGTATGAGTATTTAATAAACCTCTTCTTTGTTTTCCTCTACTTAGTCTTCTCTTCCTTTAATATTTCTCTCTAATTTACGGCCTTCCTAATTCTCGGCCATTGTGAACTCCTATGTATGAGTATTTAATAAACCTCTTCTTTGTTTTTCTTACTTAGTCTTCTTTCCTTTAATACTTTCTCTTCTCTCTCTAACTACGGCCTTCCTAATTCTCAACCATTGTGAACTCCTATGTATGAGTATTTAATAAACCTCTTCTTTGTTTTTCCTCTACTTAGTCTTCTTTCCTTTAATAGTTTCTCTCTCTCTCTAACTACGGCCTTCCTAATTCTCGGCCATTGTGAACTCCTATGTATGAGTATTTAATAAACCTCTTCTTTGTTTTCCTCTACTTAGTCTTCTCTTCCTTTAATAGTTTCTCTCTCTCTCTAACTACGGCCTTCCTAATTCTCGGCCATTGTGAACTCCTATGTATGAGTATTTAATAAACCTCTTCTTTGTTTTCCTCTACTTAGTCTTCTCTTCCTTTAATAGTGAAGTGGTTTATCTACCATTATTATTTGTTCCTGTATAATCATCTCCAATATATATAGATGCATGTGGTTTGGTCCTACGACGAACATCGAGGTTGCCATTTGCATTAGTACGTGTTACCAATATGTGTAATGGCTAAGAAAGATGAGATTAAGGACAATGCGTGAAAGCAATGTAATTTATACTTGACGTAAATAGCACATAGAATAAAATACAAAACTGAACTGAATGATTCCAAAACATAACAATTAGATTTATTAATGTTTGATGTACATGCATGCGAACTGAAAAAGTAGGACAGAGTCGTGTCCCTTTGATTAGGTATTAGTTGTACTGGAGTTCATATTAAGAAAGTTTGGAATTGTGAGTTTGCAAAGTTGGTAAAAGTTCAGGAGTGATTTCAGAGTTCATGAATGTTGGTAATTATCTTTAACGTCTGGTCAGCAATGACTAAGACCTCTTCGGTGAAGGTTACATCTTGGCACTTTGGTAACTACTACTCAAAAAGTTCACACGTGTTCGGTTTATATAATGGTCAAGTGGCTCCTAGCATATGAGCGGGAAAACAGATTGGTTGTGTTTTCAGGCGGTTTGATTGGTTGAACTGACCAATCAGGAAGCTAGATTGGAGGTAATTGACCAATGAATACTTGTTATATTGTATGAAAGTAGAATTTTACTTACCAGATAGGAAGAGTGCATTTCCTAAAAAGAGGTTTCTTGGTTTGTTGTGGAAGATTGTGGAAATTCCTGCAATTTAGATTAAAAGTTGCGGAAAACTAAAAGTTTTAATATGTAAAAAGTACTGTCCTTGTGGCTGAAAAGAACATATGTCTAAGTGTTGTTGAGCTGTGTGATTTGACGAAATGTAATGTTGTCTTCACAGTGTCGCATATTCCTCTTGTGTGTCAGAGTCGAGCATGTCTTGAAAAAAACATTGGTAGTGATCTGCGTTGCTATTAAAATTTGTCTTTTTTTCCAATGCTACACGTTGAGTTGCCTTTGTTGATCCATCCACCTGTTTGCTGTCCCGGGCGTAGTTGAAAAACGAGGTGGTTAGTGTGGTATGCGTGGATATAATTGGCGCACAAAAGTTAATAGAAGCAGCGTAGTCATGAAGTTGAACAGAATTTCTACCGAGTGTCGAATGTATGTTTGAGAGAATTTGGTATTATTGACGATAGAATATCGTTCTGGCAAATTCTTCGTTCATTCAAGTCGCATCATAGCAGAATGAGATGAGGACGGTGTATCGCCTTTTAAGACTGCATTGTACATCTGAGACATGTGCGGTGTGAAACATAGATGTGTTGTCAAAATCAAAGCATGGATTTGTAGTTGGCTGACGTCATGTTGAATAGAATGTTGATGTGTGTTGAGAAGAATCGCCGCAATTGTCGCGGCCTTTCCTAAACGTTGTGGTCACCTTTCTTGTAATGGTAGATATCGCCACAATCATTTATTTTCAACGGGGTCACCAATATATTGTAGTTTGTTTTCGTCGGCGTCACCAATTGTGATGTCTACGTCGAGTTTTTGCCTAGCAAATTCTTCATTTTTCACAGTAATTGAGACGGCTTGCTGTCGCCTAGCTGCAATGTATTGAACAAGTCATTCAGTTTACGTTCTTGCAACTTCCCCATCCTGTTAATTATTGCCTCTTTCAGTGTGTCGAAAGGGTTATGTATAGGGACGTTATTTAATAAATCCAACACATGTTTTTTCCTCTAATTTCAGGTGGCAGTTTTTCCACTACATAGGCATAACGTACCATCTGGGATTGTATCTTCTTCAACTGAAATATAGCCTCTAACTGTTTTAAACCACACATTGACGTTGGTTGTGTCAAAGACTGGTAAGTTGAGCATCACTCTTGCTTCACTGGCCTTCCTGTTCGCCATGTTAGATATATGTTTTTTATGCATGTGGTTAACAAAAAAATTTTTTTGTTTTTCAAGTTGAAGTTTTTGTTATTTTGAATTCTTTTAAATACTGTGTTTGGCACAATCTGAGGTTCACTTCACTTTTGTCTGTTATATTCCTTGAAAGTTGGTCCTACCTAGTCTCTCTCTTCCTTCGTAAACATCAATAACACTAATTCTCCTAATTCTCGGCTATTGTAAACTATGTATGAGTATTTAATAAACTTCTTCTTTGTTTTCCTCTACTTAGTCTTCTCTTCCTTTGATAGTCTCTCTCTCTCTCTCTAACTACGTCCTTCCTAATTCTCGGATATTTTGAACTCCTATTTAAGAGTATTTAATAAACCTCTTCTTCTTTGTTTTCCTCTACTTAGTCTTCCCTTCCTTCGATACTCTCTAACTACAGCCTTCCTAATTCTCAGCTATTTTGAACTCCTATGTAAGAGTAATTAATAAACCTCTTCTTCTTTGTTTTCCTCTATCAAGTTAAATGGTTATCTTCTATTTACTTAATTCTTGTTCTTTTATTGCGCTCTCTCCTTAATGTTTTTGTTTTTCTCATATTCTTTCACACTCCAGTAACAACTTGAACCTTAAAGGCTTTATTACTTTGCTTAGAGTGAAATGATAATGTGTTTGTGTGTGTGTGTGTGTGTGAGAGGGAGATGTATTTAGATGGCAAGAATTCATCCAAACTTAGAGAGATAGATAAATGGAACTCTTTTCTGACTCCTTGCTTTCCAGCCAATTTTGATTTTAAAAAATTTAAATGCAATGTCAATAGTTATTTTTTACATTCTTAATTCTCTCACTGATAATTTTTTTCTCAATTTCTCTCGCACCCAATAACCCCTTGCATCTTAGTGGCTTTATTGCCTTGCTTGGGGTGAAATGATTAGAGAAAAACTTAAGATGAGTCTTACCAATACCATGTCGTCGAAATTCATCAACAACCCCCAGACTGAGGATATAGGCCACTTGACAGCTGGTCGGGTAGTGAGTTGCAAGGATATCGGCATCCTGCAAAAACAAAGGAAGAAAGAATTGTACAATTTAAAACTTTTTTTTTTTTTTTACTTCCCAAAATAAAAATGACATCACAGCAGTAACTGAAAATAAATGAGAGGTCTATTCCCTTTGGAATGCTGGTTCTAATATACAGGCATGAGCTCAAATTCTTTTCCCGCAGAGCAAAGAAATCTATCTAGGTGGGACTTATACGCCTGTATTACACAGGTTGCCAAGAATTTGAGCTGAAAGTTTCTGAATCTATGTCACACAATCACACATATAAAACAACTTGATGTCATTCCATCTCAGTTCAATCAATGGCCACAAGTGAGCCTTGGAACTATGAATGTCAAAAGTTCATTGAAAGTTATATTTATTAAAATGCAAAAATGTTCAGTGAAATATCAAGATACTCTGATTTCAAAACTGTTATAGATTCTTCTTCTATGTGCCGCGTCCCTTCAAGATGTTGGTAATCATGGCTCTCCAAAATTTCCTGTCATTTGTAGCTCTTAATAATTTAAAGTTCACTAAATAGGTTATATGTTGTTTTCCACTGTCCTTACCTTCAATCTGTCCTGTGAGTGTCAAATTTCCTAAGCCCTCTTTCCTCATTATATGCCCTAGAAATTTAGAAATTTCAACTATTAGAGGTTAAATAGTGTTCTTTTGCTTTCCATTTCCTCTAAAACTTTACCGCTGCTTACATGATCAGTCCATGGTATTCTCAGCATCCTTCTGTAGAACATTTCTGTTGCCTCAGGTCTCTTCTTCATCTATGAAGTGATTGTCCAGCATTCACTGCCTATATGGTAGTGAATGCCAGACTGATATTACGTAAAAGTACAGTACTGTTTTCTTTGTTTCTAATGAAAATTTCCTGTTTCTGAATACTTTGCTTAGTTTTTGGAAGGCATCATTTGCTACCCCAATGCACCTTTGGATTTTCGTGTTGCATTTTCCATCCTCTGTTAAAACAGTTCCCAGATATTTAAATTGTTGTATTTGTTTGATTCTGGTATCTCCAATTTGTAATTTGCATGTTGGGCTGTTCCATTTCCTGATGACTATGCTTTGTCTTCTTGCAATCTAATATTTGGGATTTTCCTCTCAATACTTTGCTTAGCTTTTGGAACATATCTTTCACTATTAATAATGCTGACCAAGGAGAGTCTATGAATTTTTCCCCAGATTGTTCTGAGGGGGTTACTTTTGGACCATGGCCGAGTTTAGATGGAACAACCCAAATGGAAGACGATATGTAAGCTATAATTATATTTTAGTGTTGAGTGTTACTCTTGTTGATTTCAGCATACCTTTATGTTTTCCAAAAGCAGCCCACCTAAAGCTTATTTGGATGGTTTGGTTTGTTTTATAGCATATCAACCTCAATGGGTTATTTAATGCCGACAAAATTTTTCTTGCTGGTAATATTTTTTTCCTCAAAATATATATTATTTTATAATTTTTTATTCAAAATTTAATTGCTGATATTAAAACTTATTTTTACACTTTCACAGTGCCCTGACTGGGAACACTAGCAACTAAGAGGTGGTTCCATGTTCCTCGAAACCTCCCGATCAGAGGCCCCACTGCTGGATGCAGTTTATCATCTAACCCAGGAAGTGGATGTAGTTTATAGTCTTCCCCAGGACGTGCTTATTCAGAATTTTACTACAACTTGCAAGATAACTTGTGACCAAAATATACAAAATTAATCACTGGATCAATTTTTGTTCCATTTATTTGGATGTTAAATTGTGTCTGCTTTGTCTGTTGTCACTAAAAGAGTTTTCCTGGGGTTTAATTCAAAATTGGTTTCTTTTGCATTATGAGAAAGAGGGATAAAATATATTTGGGGAACATATAGATTACTGTTTATCAGGGTTGATTTATTTTTTTTTACAGTTTATCAACCTTTTAAACGTTATTTATGCCAGAAAAAATTTTTAGAATATAAAAATTTTTTGAGACAATAATGATTTACTGATACAAGTTTTTCTAATTAACTCAAAGCTTGAGAAGAGGTGGATTCATACCATTTCCAATGTCTATTTGCACATAAGTGAATATAACGACCCCAACTGTAATTGGAACTCTGCTCTCTGATTTCCAATTCCAAACCATTATTCATTACACCACCTGCACATCCAAGCTTACAGCAGCTGGTATTCCCAAGCAGTAACCCATTGAGTTTAAACATGATATGGCCTTAAGCCTCAGAGATGCTGAAGATGATGAAAATAAAAACTGAAATATCAATCATTCACAACCTTACCTCTCGATTGAGTTTGGTTTTTGATTTCACTTCTGCAACAATAAGTCCAATGATTCGTGAATAGTAAGTAGCAGCTAAAGAATAAAATTTAGAGTTGGATGTGATATCCTGGTACCATGAGTCTGGATATCTGAAAAGATACATGGAGGAAACAAGGAATTTACCATAATCTGTACTGTTGACATGTATGGATAGCACATGTAACTCAAAGGGAAAATAATGACATAATCAAGATGTTGACATTCCACACTACTTCAAACAAAAGGTTAGGATGGAAGGCTTTCATCAAAACTGGGAAGAGTGATAACAGCTACTGGGCTTGAAAAGAGAAAATGACATAATCAAGATGTTGACATTCCACACCACTTCAAACAAAAGGTTAGGAAGGAAGGCTCCCATCAATACTGAAAAAAGTGATAACAGTGGATATGAGAAACCTATTTTCTTGAAAAATTGTTTTAATAGAAAGATTTTGTGGGTATACAAAAGGTGATTATCACCTTCTAGTTGAGAAAGTCAGTGGGTCACGTGATGGTCACTTAGTGATGTCACTTCATACAGTGATGAAAGTGGTAGTCAATTTATAGCGAAGAAAAATCAAATCTCATACCTCATCAAACCAAATTGTTTTTCGCATATATTCTACAACAGAAAATGTGGCCATTAAAAGAAAATTACTTGCCAAACAAAACTAATGTTTTCCGATGACATGCTTAAAAATGGAATATTTGAATTAAAAAAAAAAAAAAAAAGAAGCAGGAGTCGCTATAAAAAAATATTTTGATATGCAAATTAATGAACATCCTATCCCAGCTGTTTTCATTTTAAAAAAAAAAAGGTTCTGCTGATAAAAGCAGTTGGTATTCTCAAATTGATAGTGGAAAATTAACCATTTTGGCTAGTTAAAAAAGAGAGTAAGTTATTTTTCTGACTGGTTACATGCATTGTGATTTGAGATAGTACTGGCGAATCGAGTTTTCAGCATTTCTTTCTGCACCCAATATTCGAGTCTGTACTTACAGTGATTTTTCTTTGTGTTGGTGAAGTAATCTGTGACAAATACTTCCTTTGTTTTCAGAACGCCTACACAATTCAGTCGACTTCTAAGAGTCAAACAAAGCAGTTGTTTGTTTGGCCTGAGCTGAGGCTAAATCTGCATCCTCTAGCACATTCTACAACTTACAAATACATGGTGCTGTTTCTCTTTGGGAATATATCTTCCCTAGATATAGAAAGAAACTATCTCTGGCTCACAGACATCAATTTGGAAACACCAAGACTTGCCTTTTCCTGTTCATGGAAGATGTCCTCGTTTGGGACATAGATGAATCCAGCCCACTTGAATATAGAATCCTAAACATGGACTCACCAGAAACACAGAAGGATCTCCGTATTATATGTAAGACCCTATTTTTTCATTCTACAGTGATTGACAAATATTCATACACGTACAAATTTTTAATTTATTGTATTTCCAACTAACGAATAAACATACTTTTCATATAATTAACTGTACACAGATGCATAATAACAAAATATGTATAGAAAGCAAAAAAAATTTGATTTAATAGAAATCCCATTTTAATGTGTGAAAAAGTATTCGTATAATGCAAATTTCAGATTTTAAAATTTTTAAATTGCTTTAATACTCTAGATTATTCAAGTAGAATATTCTAGAATGTTTCAATTATCAGTGGTTATTTTTAGCCTAAAAAATACAAACAGAACATTCAATAATTGATATTCGTGCAAGAAGGTTATCATCATGTCAAGAGGTAAAGAATTGACAAATTCACAAAAAGAACTGATGGTTAAGTTCTGGAAAGAAGGTAAAAGTGACAGGAAAATCTCAGACAACCTGAATATTCCATTTACTACCATTAGTTCATTCATTTCAAGGTATAAAAACTCAAAACTGTTGAAAACCAAAGAAGACCAGGTGTTCCACAGAAGATTTCTTCAAGATCTGCAAGGAATTTAATGTGTCAAATTAAACAAAATCCAATGTTTACTTGTCAAAAGTTGCGGGATGATTTGCTTTCATGAGGAATCTGGGTCACTGTTATAGTGGAACACACCTATTCTATAGTTAATAGACTCTCCCACCTATAATAAGTAGGAGTAGTAAGAGTAACAAAAGTGGCTCAGTCAGTCAGTCGATGCCGGACAACCGTTAGTCGAATACTAAAGTATCAGCGACCACAACTAGATTTCTCTGCGTCATTACCTATTATATCAAGTTCCTAATGTTTTGTACGTCGAACCTATTTTAGGACTGACTTAGTACAAATACAAGCCTCCATTGTGAAACCACCCCATAATAGTCACTAAACAATAAGAATGAAGTTCATAGGAACAATCTAAAGTCACGCTCCCCTCAGGAAACTCCACTGCTATTGAAAAGACACAGAGGTACCAGGTTAAAATTCGTTTGTGAATATAAGGATAAGGAAAAATCATACTGAGAAAGAGTGTTATGGACAGACAAAACCAAAATTAAGTTGTCTGGATGTAATTCTAGAAATCATGTATAGAGGAAAGATGGTGATGCCTTCAAACAAAAGAACACAGTTCCAACAGTGAAATTTGGTGTTGGCAGCATCATGGTTTGGTGGTGTTTTCTGCAAAAGGTACTGGCAACCTATCAGTAAGAGATGGTAGAATGAATGCCACAGCATATCAAAATATTTTGGAAGCAAATTTAATGATTTCAGTTGAAAATTTTGAATTTCCCCCTGATTTGATCTAACAAGATAATGATCCTAAGCACACTGCAAAATTCACAAAGAAATAGCTTGCTGAAATGTAAATATCCTGTAATGGCCAAGTTAATCCCCAGATTTAAACCCAACTGAGAATCTGTGGCATTATTTGAAAATTCAAATCCAATCGAGAGCTCCAACAAACATCCCGGTTCTGAAGAATAATGAAACAAATTACCAACTAAAATTTGCAAATCATTAATTGAGAACTGCAAGAAGAGGTTGGTGGCTATAAAAGTGAATAATGGTGATTCTACAAAGTATTAAATGAAGATTATGTATTTTTTGTACTGTATGAATAGTTTTTTTACTCATTAAAATGAATGGGATTTATTTCTGTTAAATCATTTTTTTGTTTTCTATGCATATTTAGTTATTATGCGTCAGTGTACAGTTAATTGTATTATTCATTATTGTAAATACAATAAATTAAAAATTTGTATGTGTACGAATATTTGTTTCCCACCACTGTGTGTGTAAACTGTACTGTACTGATTTAAACATTCACCCTGGGCGGATTGAGCCGGCTTTTCCTGTTATGAGAAGAAGATTCTTGGGATAAATTAACAAAAAATTATGAGGGTACCCAGGCCTACTGGGATAACGTTCTTGCTTGCCGTAATTTTTCCCACAGACGCAGAGACAGGAAAAACCAGAAGCCGCTATTTACCGATGCAGACGCTCCTTGGATTTTCACCAGAGCCCTTGTTAGAAATTTGTGTGTCAGACCTGTCCGCTTTGGGTGGCCTACCAGGAACGAAAGTCAACATTTTATAATAAACATTTTTTCTGACACTATTGTATTAAATGGACAAAACTGTGACTGTATTTTAAGGGTTTTATCAACTGTGTGTGTGTGTGTTAAATGTATATACATATATATATATATATATATATATATATATATATATATATATATAAAATATTTTTTTTAAATGTTATTTTTAGTGGATAGCCATAATTGAATAGATGCTCTGCTTATATATTTGTTTTCATTTAACAGTCTGAATATTCGAGAAATCTTATTAAAGAAAATATGTGCACTCAGGCAGGATCTGAACCTGTGTCCGCAATGGGCAGTCATCATTAAACATTAGATCCAATGTACTTTTAGACCTTTCAGTTTCTATAAAGTCAATTTCAAACTTAAAATTGAATAATGCCTATATATATTTTAATAATTACACATAGACCTAAGTTTACAGTATGCCTCAGAGTTTCATAGCTTCACTAATCATCAGGTACAAAAAGTCATAAACTGTTCAATACAGTTGTTAGGTATGTGTAATTATTAATATATACTTTATAGCTCTGTTTAACTACATGGAGCACTGTTTTGTGTACACCATTGATTAAATCTCTTTATTTAGATATTTTATTTATATATATATATATATATATATATATATATATATATATATATATATATATAGAGAGAAATTTTTTATAAGAGAATTTGAAAAAAACTAGGTAATCCGTATGGGTAAATCTAAGCAGGATAAAATCCAGAGAGCTCAATGTAAATCCAGAGCAAATAATTTTTATATATATATATATATATATAAAAAAAATAAATAGAATATATGTATTTTGTTTTATCCACTTTATATGTGATATATAAAATATATATATATTATATAAAGAGAAGTGATACACAGTCTGATGATCCCTTCTGTGAAACTGGGAATGTTAATCTGTATGTCCACACTGTTTATATCTATATAAAAAATGTCCTGACTGTCCACTCTTTCCCTCTGAATATAACAAATTCTAAGCAATATATTTATATGTAGACATGTTCTGTTAAGTAAGACAGAGTGAATGTTGACTGAGGTTTTGGAGGCATTTCTCCTGGTGAATTATTCACATTATCTCAAGGAAAATGAAAAATAGTAAAAAAAAAAATTTTTTAAATGTTAAGAATCAAGCAAACACTATTCAACCATTTTGAAACAAATGCCTGCCTTGAAAAATCATCCTTCTTAAAAAAAATTTATCTTGTCTCAGTATTTATTAAGTTAAATTAGTATAACATATGATCAAATGGAGGAAGGAAGATTGTATATGTTTTTCTCTTACAATTGGAGGGCATTTTCTTAATCCTGGTTTTTTTCTTGTCTCAGTATTTATTAAGCTTAAATTAGTATAACATATGATCAAATGGAGGAAAGAAGATTGTGTTGTGCCAATCTTACAAGTGGGGAGGGCATGCTTCTTAATCCTGGTTTTTTATCTTGTCTCAGTATTTATTAAGCTTAAATTATTATAACACAAAAAAACAAACGAAGGTACGAAGATAGTGTTGTGCTAATTGTCCAAGTGGATTTTATCTTGTCTCGGTATTTACCAAATTTATTGAGAATGAGAA